TCTGTCACTTTCAGTAAAGCAAGGATGTCTCTGCTCTGAACCTTTTGCCATTGCTGTTCTTCCTCCTGCAGTTTTCTGTAAGCAATCCACTGCTTTCAGCCTTTTTTAATGAAATATAAAACTATGCTGAAATGCTAAAATGAGCCTAGCCGGTGTTGACGAAGCCTTACGGTGGAAACATTTGGATTCAGCCTCAGTCGTCTCACCTCTGCTGACCTTTGGCTCGGTTGTCGAATGAGCGAGTTTTACGTTTCCTTCCTGCACTTTCTCTGTCCCGGTCACTCGGCTGCATTTCTGATTTCTGCTGAGTTCATATTTAACTTTGTCACTTCCTGCTGAACCTGTGAGATGATGATTATTGATTACTGATCAGAGACTTCTAGGACTCGTGAATCTTCCTGATGACTTTCGTTTAGATGAGCACACTGTAGCTTCCCGACAACGGTTGACCCCCACCCACACACCCCCACCCACACTGACCACAGTATTATTGACGATGGTATTGATCTTTGTAGCTGAAGGTCAAACCGAATTGTCCTCTGATGACCTCTGACCTCCCCTGTTCACCTGCCCTCACCTCTTTCTATGTTCATATGATAAATAGTGCCTTGAAATAACCCCACCCCCTCCTCCCCATCACATTGATATAATAAGGTGGTTTTTTTTCTACATGTCAGTGTGGAATGTTTATTCTGTGAAAATAAAGATGAACGAACACTCACCTGACTTTTAGTTGAAGCTTTATTGATCACTTGCAGTAAATGCTGGGTTATCACCTCCTTTATATGCATTCATTATTTCATGGCTAATTCTGACTTTTTAAAATCAGTCATTAGAAAAAAACCTGAAACTGACGACGTCGCCTTTGATTGGAGCCGTTCTCACTGCTTTATAACCTCCTGAGATGACGAGAGACATCTGCTTATTTCACTGTATCTGCTTAAATTTAAGGGGAGCCTGCTTTTCAACACATAAATCAGTGCACACGAAGCCGGGACTGATTCTGTGTCAGAGCCGGATTTAGCTGCTGATGTGCCTGTGGCAGAAACTGATCCTGGGAAAACACCAATTGCAGATGCATTACATTCCAACTGTGGTGGGCTGGTTAAGGCCTCGCTCACACAGGCCCAGTGACCCATCAGTGACCCCCCACCCCCTCCCTATTTAGGGAAAAACGTGTATTCCCCAGCTGGTTGGTGAGAACTGTAACTGGTTGCAGAGAAAGACACGGGCCAGAAGTTGCTGTGAGTAGTTCAACTACAGCTGCCTGTAGACTAAGCTGCTCGTGTTCACTCAAAACAATGCTTGCATTTCGAGCAGACGCATTTGCAGTTGACTCTCTGCTCACGGCTAAAAATATATATTTTTCCTTTAATGCAAAGTCAAGCTGCACAGAGCAAATAAGGAGAGCAGGTCTGGCACATAGAGGCAGTCTATATACGCAGACTGAAATTCCAGCTGAGCGAAAGCTTGAACAAAGCTGTCGGACGTGAACCTGGTGTGTTCCTGTAGAGAGGCTCATCAGGTCGATGTCATCCATGCAGTGGTCCAGAGCACAGAGGACCAGCTTCTTAAACACAGTATGAAGCCGTCTATGAACTGTTCCTGAGCTAACCTGAAGGCCACAAAGTTTGGCTCTGATTTTACCACCTCATGGCTGAGTTGCTGTCATTCCCAATCACTTCCACTTTGCTATAATCCCACTAACAGCTGACTGGAGTATTTAGTAATGAGGAACCTTCACTGGACTTGTTGCACAGGTGGCATCCAATCACGGTACCACGCTGGGGTCCCTTTCACAAATGTTTGCAGAAGCAGTCTGCATACCTGGGTGCTTGATGCTATACGCCTGTAGCCATGGAAGTGATTGGAACACCTGAGTTCAGTGATTGGATGGGTGAGTGAATACTTTTGGCAACATAGTTTATGAAAACGAGTTCACTGGACTCAGGTGGTCTCCACAAACCTGACGCAACTGCACGAACCTCTGAAAGCTAAAGTCTGTCTGACCCAGTACTAGTAAGATGTATTTAATAAAGCGGTCAGTGAGTGTATAATTCTATATATATTCTATTGTGATGTACAGTATAGCGACAGCACTGAGTATGGTCAAAGTGTTTAATAATAATAATAAAAAATTCATCCACAGGAAGCAGAGTGACTCCGGTTTAAGGACATCGTCCACCTGCTCCAGACTGAACGTCCCAGCAGGCGGCCGACAAACGTCCCGCCTTTCTGAGCCTGCAGGACCCTTTCAGTCTGGAGCAGGTGGAGGCTGAGGCCCAACTTTCACTAAAAAGTCTCTTCCTGTAGGTCAAAGGTCAGCTGCTTCAGTCTCTCAGTTTAACAGTTCATCCTAAAATCTTCACTTCTTCTTCCTCACCACCGTCCAGCCATCTTCTTCATCCTGAATAGGAGGAGGAGGTTGTGTCCTGCTGACCGATGGACCAGACGCTTCACACTCCATCTCCTGCACACACAAACAACCATCACTCAACCCGGGTGATTTCATTATCTTAAAAAAAAGTTCCCACCTGAAGCCCTCAGTCAGCTGTGTCTTCATACAATATTGAGCCCCTCGACATACACGGGGCGGGGCCATATTTGGCTTTTTAGTATCGTGTTTTTCCAGGAATTTTTAACCTTCATAACTTCATGAAACACATTTGAGTTTTGTTTTAAAACAGCAACCAAATCCATTCTACACCCACTCCACATATCGTAATGTTTTCTGTCTGTTTACAATTATAATATGAGCACAGAAGCAGCACAACTTCACAAACGGACAGAACAAGGATGCAACTGCATCAGAGGAGAAGCTGAAAGATTTTACTACAGTTTCCTTGCGTCCATCCAGAGCTGCAGCTGAAAGCAAGACACATGCTGGACAGTCCATGGCAAATACTCCGTAATTATGTGATACAGTCATTTTTAAACCACAAAAGGAATCACGGCTAGAAGATGGCATCAACCCTGCAAAACTCACACAAAATGCACTTTTTGAAGATTTCTGCTCGAGTGGGCGCACAACTGATCTGGCTGCAGGTTTTAACAAAGCCTATAAAATGTAATTCAGGTGTGAAAGATTCAGATTACTCGTTCAAAAAGGTTGAACGTCGCTCAGAGATTCTCAGTGGGAGTGACGGAGATCAAAATCCACAGTCCTGATTCTGACCTGTGTGTGTGTGTCAGGTGAGCCGTACCTGTGCGTCATCGTTGCTCTCTTCATCAGACTGTGTGGGCTGAGCCGTGACCTTTGCCCTTTGACTCTTATTCTGTGTCAGAGTGTTGATGGTGTGTTTGAGCTGCTCCAGTGCCCCGTGCCGCCACTGACTGAACATCTGCAGCAGATTGGCGGACACCTGCAAACACACACACGTCACGTCACCTTCAAACATCCACACCTGCAGACCAGCACCAAGCGGACCATTCTGTGTTCATTCCTTCAGTTTTTGTTCGGTGTGGAATAAAATAATAATACGACTTTAATTGCTGCGCTTTAGTTCAAACAAGTTGACGTCAATGAGGAAACAACTGTGTGGAGAGTTTGGAGGTTTGAACAGTGAAAAGTTGGCCGCTTGAATGTTTATACAAGAACAAAGAGCTCAGAGCAACCGAGTCGTCCTGGAAAGCGTCGGGAAAGAAGAAATAACGAGGCTCAAACGAAGCAGGAGAGATCAAACGGAGCCGCGTTAACAGAATCTGCAGCGCTTTTGTTCAAAAGGCAGCAAAACTTCAAAGTGACGGAGAAGCAGGTGTTGTTAAGGTGGATGCTAAATTTGAAGAAAAGCAGCAGGTGTGACTCTTCTCCAGGATGAGACCGACATGAATCTCTGAGGACTCAACGCCAGCTGAAGGACGACCAGGAAACACCCGGAACAAAAAGCGCATAAAGGAAAGAGGAGGCATCAGATAAGAAAAGTGATGAAGCAGCAGGATGGAAACATCTGGGCGCTCATCATCAAACAGTGTTTGTGTTCTGCGAACCACAGACTGGCTGTAGCACATCGTGCACCGCCTCCATCTGACTACAGAGCTCGCTGCCAGCTCTGGAGCAGACAGTGAACGCACCATCTCTGCTCGACCATAAAACACGAACAGCCCATTTTCAACCACGAGTTCTGCATCATTAATCACATCACAGTGAACGCTGCAGCTCCTGGCGAGAAGAGAAACTGATGAACTCATGCCTCGCTCTCGCTCGTCCTACTGAACTAACTGATGAAGACGTTAATAAGACTGCACCACGCAGAT